ATCCTGACAATTTGTTCTCATTTTATATGTATCATATGCTGATCTAATTCTTTGTTTGTTTCCACGAAGGCTTAGTAAATTCTTCTAAGTGAATTCGTCGGGGAATTGCTCAAAAGCATCTGCTTCAAAGGTTTGAGGAGACAAGTGTTCTGGCAGAAAATCCTTTTCTGCGCTGCAGATTCACGGAAGAAGGTCATTGAGACGTTCTGTGACTTGAAGCAGTATAGCGTTGCCTTAGTTAACATATTAATTTCCGTCTTGCGTCGAAATCAATTGACTGTCAGCAAGGCCGTTACTTTGTTTTACGTAGGGTAATCTTACTATCTGAGAAACTTGCTCTTTATAATATCTTTCCAAGACAATTATAAACTTGGCTAGCACCGGCCCGCCGCCCTTCATATTCGGCTCAGTACGACTCAAAGGCGACGCGTACATCCTATACTCATTACATTAAGCATGAAAGAAGTTTGGAATTGTTAACAAACGTTTTTTCGGCGCCTAAATAGTTGCCAAGCAAATTCATCAGTTTGCTTCATATGACTCTGTGTCAGATGGTAAAGGGAAAATCAGTCTACTTTCATCACAACTATGGATTGAACATTGGAATTTGAGCAGGCAGTAAGGTAAAGTTCTGTGCAGTAAAGACAGGTGTATGTCCAAACAGGCAAAAATTTGTCTCCTTCATTGATTCTCCGTTTCCTATCGTTAGAGAGAATAGAACATGGGTAGAAAAGAACATTGCGTCTGTTGTCAAAATCAATAGAGCTTTTTTGCGCGGTGCGGATTAGACTTACTCTTTACTGCAAAGTAAGACTCCATGGTTGATCAGAAAGGATTGCAGTATGGTTTGCAAATTTAGAGCAGTGACTCGACCTAGACACATGCTTGCAATCAGGGGGATGTGATCTCAGCGCTGATTTCAAATTTGTCGCTAAGTTCATAGCTTCATTCCGGAACAGAGTATCAACGTTAAGTAACATCAAGCCAAAGCTATGAATCTTACATGTTGCTAAATGCGGTTTGAGGTGCTACCTTCCTATCAAACGAGAGTATCGCTCTACCAAGTCACGGTAATCTCTTCAAATGCCAATAGAATACCTTTTGTGAAATTTTACTACTATAAACCCATCGCAAGTATAATCAAAATAATCAGAACTTGTGAGTTCTCATTGACACTCCATTGTTTAAAGATGACTAGTAAAGGGTTTTGGAATCGGAGGTCGCTTGAAGCTATTTGGGTCTGTTTTCCCTGGCAGGATCAAAATCACAGATTAGTCGCCATGAAAATGATCATTACGTCTTCAAAATTTTATAACCTCCTATCGAAAATTAGTGCGGAAATTCAGGCCAATTTTGTTCAGTCCTAACAAAATTAGGAACTCCTACGCGTGAGTACAAACATCGACGCAAAACACCAAGCAACAAAAATCAAAGCTGATACGATGTTTGTAACTACGCGTAAGAGTTTCAAGTTTTGTTGAGATTAATCAAGACTGGACTGAATTTTGCACTGATTTTTCACACGTGAAGACATCAGTGAGTACTGCAAAGTAAATGACATGAGAGAAACCTATGCACCAATTTGTAAAGGAATGGCTGAAAAATGCGAGACTTGAGCTTCTTGACTTACACATTCCATCAGTTCATTCGAACACTTACGGAAACAAGAAGTTTCATGGCACGTACTGGAGGTACAAGAGCAGAAACAATGTAGTGGTATGTATGACACATGTCAGAGGAGATTAACCGTGGACGGATGAAGCGACATCATGCCAATGACGAAGTGGGGCGACTCAACAGTTGACAAGTGGCTGTGGGAGGAGCTTGAAATCAGAAACGCAGTCTTCGGATTGGCGAAAATCCAGCTGTTGAGTACTGACGGGATTCACTGAGACGGGGCATGAAAGTTTAAAGGACCGTGGAGAAACCGCGCTCGGGTCCCTGCACGAACAGCCTGATTACGGTCCCTGCCTTTGTTGGGGGGGGGGCCAGATAGGGCACCTCCTTGATGAATGCAAAAGGCCGTAGCTCTTCTGCAGGATGCACCAAAATCTCATCCTTCTGTGCAAGCCCTCGAAGCAGTCCTATTTCCTGCACAAATGATGTTTGCAGAATTGCAAAGACAGGCTAACTTCTGGGATGCATTTGTGCAAATAAAACAAATAACAAAATCTAGATTCGACAAATTGCGAATGCTACTCGACAAAGTGTTGGCAAAACCAAGAAGATCTATCAGGGACGCTAAAAGAGACTTCGATGTAATTTCTGAGGAGAGGAAAAGAACGGATGTTTATGATGTTTATTACTAGATGGGTGGACTTCGACAGCTTACTGAACTTCTCCATCCTCTTAAGAGCGCCCATGCCGAATTTCAATTCGTCGACGTTTACGCACTTCAAATGGAGAAGGAATATGATGAATCAGTGCATGAGATGTCAGCTGAAATCGCAGACAGAATCTGCTCTGTGACACAATAGAACACTTCAACACAGAGATGAATTCCATCTGTCATCTGCTATCCAAAGAAGACAACCAAGAGATTATCAAGGATGTCGAAAAATTCCAACTTCCGGCACTTCGAGAAGAACTAGCAATGTTGAAGGGAAAATTCGAAGAGGCTAACCATGCTCGTAAGCATGTGGATCCAGACTCCTCTCGCTTCGCTGCCCTAGAAGATCGTATGAAAACCCTTGACTTGATGCTAGAAGATGCCAAGAAAGCCTTTGAGAAGGAAGAACAAAAGCGCATTTTCGTGGGGATCACCGAACGATTGTAGCAAATCAAAACGATTCCTATCCTCGAACTCACCGAAGATTCACTGAATGAGATGAAGAACCAAATTCAAACTTTTCCTAACAGGGGAAGGACACTTGGGTGCCGTAGCCATTCATAATGATTTGTATACCAAAAAATGCGCTTTTGAATGCTGGTTCGTAGACTGTCTTTCATATCTGCGAAACGATACTCTGAATGGAGTTATGAATTTTTCATTCAAAAAAATTGCGTTTTTGCGGAGGGTCAAAATCATCAATAAAAAAATTTTCTCTCCTTTTCAAATGCTGAGTATGATCCAGATAGTCTAAATAAATATTACTACGTCTAAAATTTTCTTCAGTAGCATCAAACGGTGGGCTAGATCAAATCTGGTGATTTTTACTACCCAAAAGTAGGCTAAATTTTCAAGGAAAAAAACTAAACATAAAAACTAAACCATAACTTTCTTCAAAAGATCGTTTCGCAGATTTCGAGCACAGATTCAGAATCTGCATTCGAAGGCGCATTTTTTGGTATACAAATCATTAGGAATGGCCGCGGCATCCAACTATCCTTCCCTTGTAAGAACCAGGCTGATAAACTTCAGAGGGAAATCGAAGACTTGCGAAATGCCAAAAAGCGACACTTTGACTTTATTCATGGCACTCTCTTGACATACGCCGAAGATGCAACTGCTGCCTTTTCAATAGCTCGAGACATTCCTCAAGAAAATTCTTTTCGAGTGAAGGTACGTCCGAAAACAATTTCTTGGGCCGCCACTCAAATTTGGGGAAAGAATTTGGAAAGTTATTCACCTGCATTCTAGTTACGCAAGAACTTCTACACTAATCTGGTAATAATTCGGGTTCGAATGCGCCATAAACCTCAATCAAAATGCACCATAATCTGTGAAGACCCCTCATTATGTACCCTTTCAGGTGTATAAGCCGCACCCTTTTCGCTCTGAAGGCGAACACGCCAAAAGACTGATGGTCATCATGGAGCGCGTTAAGTGAGAGCAGTAGCGATAAGGCGACCGCTTCGCGAGACATATGCGCGACGGCACGCCTGGGTCTGCTCGCGTTTAGAGCAAAAAGGGTGCGTCTTATACACCTGAAAATAGGGTACTTACTATAACCACACCGAGAATTTTTGTGCGAGAAAATGTGACATGTATTATCAGCATCTCAAATGACCCATAGAACAAGTCCAAGCGAGATCTATGACCTTGATTTTGTGAGACCCGTTCGAAGTGGACCCACCATGCATCGTTGTTGCTTTGTAAAGGACTCTTTTATTCACACAGCCGCAACAATGCAGGCAATTCTAGACGAAGTGCAAGGAACTGAAAATTCAGAAGACATTGTGTTTCCGAAAACGCGGACATCTGTAGAAGGTTATGCATCGCCACTTGGCGGAGGCAGTCCCGCGCGGATATGTGCAACAAAAACGTACCCCTGCATATAGTAAGTTCTAGCTTAGTTTAGGCGGGAATTAGATTGGCGAGAGTCCGCTTTGCAGTCTGTGTCTCTTCATTTTAATCTATTCGCTGAACCAGTGGCGGTGCGGAAGCACTGCTCCACTTGGAATGTTTCGCCTACTCTGAGATGGAAAAGACTGTATCTCTATACGTAAGCGGTGCGTCCGTGTTGCGTGTATCCATGGGCGTTTATTGTAGGGACATAGGGTGTAGGGCGTTAAGCGACAAACCCAGTTCCTTGTACCCCCAAGAATTCCCCGCGCAAAACGTCTTCGGCGGCAAAAACAGGGGGGGGGAGTGGGTTCGGCCGGTACATGACTCGAATTTGAGTTACGGGCTTCAGCTGCTTGCGTTTTGCACGTTTTGCCGGCCAGTCTTGCCCTACGGGGACATACCGCCCTCTATCCCTGCTAGGGTAATGTGCGTGAATGCGCATACATATGTTGCAAATGTCCGCATGGGAATACTCGACGACACATGATCCCCCCTTGATAGATGCGCGCGGGTGGAGCACGGCAACACATTCTTCTTCCTTCATGTTAACACTTCCCCGTAGAATCCTCATGCAGGAGGTTTCGAAACCGAGGCGTTTGAACTTTCCACTGCGAGCTCATTACAATGACATCTTAGCGCTGCAGGACCCAAACCAAACCCTCTAAGCGCTCGCGCGCGTTGGACTAGCGGAACGGCGGCGCAGCAGCCAGTCACATGTCACATCGTTTACATAGATCGTTTGTTGTAATCTGCTGCTGTAATCGCATTGCTACAGAACTCTTCGAAGCTTACGATGGACGCGACGTGCCACTCTGCGAGTAACTGTGTACGGAGTTTGAAAGTGGAAATACAAGTACGCGATGGGTAAGTGTGGTTATCATTTTTTTGCTTTACATCTTCAGCTGTGTTCGACTTCTTGAGACAGAATTTTTTATGGCTGTAGTTCCGATAGTAGGACTGTGTCCTTTGCACACGAACACTAATATCAAAGTACAAAGAACAGTAAAAGTGCAATATTGTTAGGCTTAGGGATCGTTCATACCGCGCACAAAGGCTGACGAAGGCGGACGAAGCTGCACTAAGGGGACGAAAGCGGACGAAACCGCACAAAGGCGGACGAAGCCACACAAAAGCGGACGAAGGCGCACGAAGGCGCGTCTTGTCTCGTCTCGTTTCTCTACACACACACATACACACTCACACATGCCTTCGTGCGCCGTCCGGCTTTGTGCGGCTTCATCCGCCTTCGTCCGCCTTTGTGCGCGGTACGAACTATCCCTTACAATTAGACCAAGAACAGGTCCTCTATTAGTGTGAACGTAACGTTCCTCTTGAACTATGAAACCGTGCAGATCATACGCACAATGATGTCAGACGGCTTATACAGTTACGTAGATAGGGCCCCGGGCATGGTTCGCTCGACATCGCCTCGCTGTTCTCCTGACAGGTGTTACGAGCATTGTATGACGAATCCTCCTGCGAGTCGTAACATTTTTCTTGTCCAGAGAATCGCTAGGCGACGGAATTGCGTGAACTGTGCCCGAGGCCTAATACGTATAGACGTGGCAGTCATCCATCTTGTATCAGTTGTGCATTCTTTTACATGATGAACTCTGCCTAATTTACACGTGTTTAGTCCACTGGGAGAGGCCTTGATTCTGACATATTCCGACGCAGGATACTGTGAAGCTAAGCAGAAGTTTTGCGGATTCGAGTGGTGAGTGCTAATTTTTTGCTTTCTTGTGGTAAAAGCGGACCTTAGTTGATGGTTCAGGCAGAGTACCAAAGTTACCGTGGGCTTGAAAATTCGACAGTTGTTTCCATGAACAAATGCTCTATAGATGACTGGTTCTTCTAAATCGGCAATATTTGTAGCAAGAGAAAAGATGCATGAATGAGGATTTGCCCGATTTATGGGTTTTTAGAAGTCTTCTGCAAAGAACATTTGAACGGCAAAAAATTGTCGTCCACTTTTTGCGTACTATACGCCAGACGCACATTTGCGCTTTCACTGGACAGTGCTTTATTTAGGGACCCTCATCGGTTTTTACGCGAACATGCGCTTAGTTTTGCGTGGGCACTGCTTTGAATACGCAAACTTTACAGCGGCCTTGCATAGGAGGGACGGTCAAAGGCTACGATCGGCGCGAGTTTTTCGCGATGCAATGCCGCGCGACGGCAACCAGTACAAGAATCATATCCCTGACCCAGTCTCGCTTATGTTACCGAGTCATGTATTTGCCCCCCCTCCCCCCCCCCCCCTCCGCGCCCTGTTTTGGCGCCGAACTCTAGGCGAAGAGCTTCTAGGGCACAAAAGTTGAGGCGTGCGCGACAAAGCGGCGATCCATATCTATCATTTGTGTTACATACTCGTTTCACTTCGAAATCGGCAGCAAAATGAAAGGACAATATCTTGCGCTACATTTGCTACCTACCTTTTTAGGGAAGCCAAACCAACAGTTCACGAAGATCATGTTTCCATCACGTTATGGTGCAGTCCTGAAGTGGAATCCGATTCTTGGCGCTGTGCGGCGCTTATCACCGTGTATGGTTGCGTGGGCATCGATGGTGAAAGTACTTTGCTGTATAGGGTGTGTTTGTCAACTTGTCTGAATTTGTTTGCTTGGCAAGTAGCGCTTCACACCTTATTAGTCGTCACACATCTTCCACAATGAGTGTCGCTCGACGAGCATCATAACTCCTCCCGTTGAATTGGATAACGATGGTACACTGGGAATCCTCAGTACTACTGGGTACAACTTGCAATAGTAAATGATTACCTGCTTCCATACTGACCACTTCCAGTTGTTTCAGAGAAGCTGCTATGCCTGATTCGAATTTTACAAAACCATCGGAATTTAGCAATGCCTGCATCGCTTTTAAAAACAGCGACATGCGCGTTTTTGTGAATAAGGAGGTTGTTAGAGCTCGAGCTCACCTTGAGTATATCCAGAGGTTTTTTTGTTCAGTTCATCCCGGAGCGCTCTACATCTGCTGCTTCCAACTTGGACAAATCTGACTCTGGCGATGATTTCGACGTTCTGAGCTCACGGTTAGCACCCTCCTCTCCCCTTCCATTAGTGTGTTGTCGTAGGTAAACACATTTTTTTTTTCAGAGCTGGTGTGCGTGGACAGTCTTTGGAAGACGATAGCGGTCTCAATACTCTTCTTTCTTCTCGGAGTAGGTTCCAAAGTTTGCGTTGAACACGTTTCAGCAATGCTAAGCTATCTCAGTTGGTCTACAAAGACTTAGTGGTCATGGCAGTAGATGCTGAACTTTATGCCTAAAGTCGTACAAGCACTACAGTTTGTCTCATACGCAGTGTACAGGGCTCGGCACGAGCTGGCACCAGGGAATTTTCAAAACGAAGTCCCCCTTGAAATTTGCTAATTTTTACGAAGTCCCCTTTGATTCTCAACGATATCCCCTCTAAAATCCTAAAAAACCCCCCAAAAACGAAACGTCGACTAAAAAAAAGGTCCCCGTCGCCGTTCCTCCAAAAACGATATCCAGCTTGCCCCGTGCCAGCTGGTGCCAGGCCCTGATAAGGCGGTCCGCATCGAAAGATGACACAATAGAAACTGTGCTGAAACGCCCTATTTAATCTAGGTCCGCCTCGGTGTTGCAATGACAGGAGGTTTACGAAGTTCTATTTATTCGTTGCACTGCGTTCTCGAAACATACTTTCTCTCTGCTTTATGAATCAGCGTTCATAGTTTGCAAATTTTTGAGCCAAAAAAAACGCTTGACATCTCAAAAGTCTAATTAGAGCCGATTTTCTCGTAGAGGAAATACTGAAGTGGAACTGACAAGCTGGAAAGAAATGCATATTACCGTAAGCGCCTTCAAACGCTGATATCAAGTCTGATCTATATTTTGCGAACCAAATTTCTGATATAAGTTAAGCGCTTGAAAAATCAAGTTTGTAAACTTCGAATCAGCGAAAAGCTGTACGAAAATACAGGTTTTGATAGATACGTCCTTTCCTTGCAGTATACTCAAAACATCGACAACATCAAAACACCAAACCTTCGATCGCGCGTTTTCAGGCGTTTTTGTGCAGCTTTCTGCATCAGTGCTACTTGTATCCTTCCCCTGTCAGTCAAAAGACGTGTAAATCCGTATGACATGCGAATTTGCATGCATTAGACCCACTCATCTCTGTGCATGCTGAACCGACATGCTGGTCGCGCATGTTATGCAAAATTCTTTAAAAGCTGGCTGTAATTTGCTTAATTCTCGTGCAGAAACAATTTCACACAGGCACTCAGACGCGCAAGGAAGAAGGTTCTACCGTCTTGGTTTAGTAGGACGAGCAATTACTCATTTCAGAAGTTGTAAAACCTCAGACGGAAAGAGATTTCTATCAGAAGATTATTTGCAAAATTAACCTGGTTACTGGATCTAGAATTGATCATGGCTTTGTACCTTCCAAATAAATGTGCTTCTACATAAACTACATTTATGTACCATTTGCTTCAACCAAATCGGCTGCTGAAAGGCGGGGCCCCATGACTTAGGCGACTACTCGCTTCGCGACGCAGTCTGCGCCGCCCTCGCGAATATGCTCTCTGGTCATTCACTAGCATTAATTAGGCTCCCGCCAGAGTGCCGAAGTTATGCCAGCGCTATGCCAGCATTTCGATCGATACACGTGTATTTCGTTGGGGCGGGGCTAGCTCAGCAGGTAGATGTTCCCAACGAAATACACGTGTATCGATCGAAATGCTGGCGTAGCGCTGGCATAACTTCGGCACTCTGGCGGGAGCCTTAGGTACGGAGCCCCGCCGTTGTAGTAAAAGCTCAAACAAATACTTCTTGACGCCTTTTTTCCCTAGAATTATGCTTCTCAATAATCATGTTGATTAAATGCGACGCACCCAAAATTTGCAAATATGTAGGCTATAATTTGAATCACAGATGCAGCTACTGCTCTGCCGTTCTGCCAAATTCTGTGTCGATAATAATAGAATAATTATCGACCATTATTTTACATTGTATATTATTCTTGTCGTTGACAAACCATCCTAGCATGGAACACTTAAGCCGCCAAGGTCACCCCCCATTGTTGCTTGATAGCACACTTGGCGGCTATTACTTTCATGTAAGCATCAATAATTTTCGAGTGATACCTGTATGATACTATTGTTTGCCAGAAGGAAGCATCTAGGTTGCCACGCCCAAAATAGTGGCATAAATAGACCTGGATGCTCACTTCTGGACTCGTCTCGCCAAATCTATATTCCACTGGAATTGTTTCCCGAATAAACAATTCCTTCAACGTAGTGGCATCCAATATTGGTTAACACCAAATTGGTGCATTCGGCCTACGGTTCACTTTCTGGCGTTTGCTACCCAGAAAGCTGATAAAGTACCGCGTGGCAGACACTCCACTAATTAATTGAACCCTTTTGAGCTCTCTCTTCGTGAGACGACCGGAAGGTAGTAAAAGCGTTAGTTGGCAGGCTTCTTCACTGATCAATTGAACCCTTCTGAGCTCTCTCTTCGTGAGACGACCAGAAGGTAGTAAAAGCGTCAACCGAAGAAATTTCACTGGTCAATTGAACCTTTCTGAGCTCTCTCTTCGTGAGACGACCAGAAGGTAGTAAAAGCCCCAGCTGAATACTTCTCCACTAATTAATTGAACCCTTCTGAGCTCTCTCTTCGTGGGACGACCTGAAGGTAGTAAAAGCGTTAGTTGGCAGAAAATCACATTAATTGAACCCTTCTGTGCTCTCTCTTCGTGAGACGACCAGAAGGTAGTAAAAGCGTCAGTTGAGGAAACCACTGGTTAATTGAACCTTTCTGAGCTCTCTCTTCGTGAGACGACCAGAAAGTAGTAAAAGCTCCAGCTGAAGACCTTACCACTGAAATTGAACTCTTCTGTGATCTTCTAGTAAGACGACCAGAGGTTAGTAAAAAAAAAAACAGTTGGTACATCTTTAATAGTTCACTCGAAAACTATTAAATTACAAGGTCTCCTCAAAATCTCACTGGGCAGGATTCAAACCTAACCAGTCAGCACAGCGTTCAAGCCCATCGGCACGCTTGCTAACCAACTAGAAGAAGCTAAGCGCTCCACTGCTAGCTCACTAGTGACTAATTTTCTTGCGCTCAGCAAGAAAAAATCCCACAAAGGTTCAGGCCCAGCCAACCTCACAGTTCTCGACAGCTGCGCGTACTCAGTACCCAGCCAGAACACCTCTACCAAAGCCGACACCTGCAGTGCCAAAGCACGCAGACGACAAAAGCGCAAGCGATACAGGTCCATGCGCACAAGGCAGACGATGGCTGAGCTAACTCTATACAAAGCTCGCATTTCTATGGCCTGCTCATCAATCAGCGGTCTTGAGGACAAGGTCCGCAATATTGATAAGGCTTTCGAATTTCCCAACACTGCAACCGAATGCAACGCCTTCATAGCGGACAAAATAGCAGAGATTAATGAACTGCAAATTACCCTAACAGGTTTACTGGAGAACCTGGAGGCGCAAGTGCAAACTGCCATGAATTTTCTTGGCGCAAAAAAGGACCAGTCAGACAAAGACAGATTGATGAACGATTTGGCTGCCTTCCTAAGCACAGAAGCAAACGGTCTACAGCTTGAAGGTATCAACTGGACCAACAGGTTGAAATATCGAACGAGGGAATTAGAAAAACAGTCAGGTGTAATCCACTCATTAGCATCGTCTTCGATGCGATCACCAGTACCGGATACGGACACGGATAGTTGTCTATCCACAAGACAAAACAATGAGCACAGGGTCCGATTACCAGTGCTGGAAGTTCCAAAGTTTAGTGGAAGCTACAAAGACTACCTGACGTTTTGGACGATCTTCAATTCGCTTATCCATAGCAATACACAGCTAAGCGACACTGATAAGTTCCTATTTTTGAGGCAAGCACTAAAAGGATCTGCTGCTTCTATGCTTGGAAATATTCCTGTGATAGGGAAAAATTACGACAAAGCTGTGAAACTCCACGACAAGAGATACAACAAGTCCGGATGCATAGCTGATCTTCTCATCACAGAACTCGAAAAACTTCCGCGAGCAAAGGAAGACGCCAGTAGCTGCCGAAAAATGTTAACCGATGTGACTGAGAAACTCACTCACATTGAGTGTGCGGGAGTCACCTTGGACAATGGACGAATGTGGAGACGCTTGATACTCTTAAAATTCCCAGCATCACTGAGCGAAAAGGTGTTCAGCAAAGAGCAAAACGATACTAGACATCCTGGAAAGTGCGGTAGCTCTCAAGGAAACAATTGCCCTTTCAATGGACACATTCCAAGAACGCGTGACCTTCAGCCAAAGCAATCGTTCAAATTTCAACAAGGAACTGCAGAAGCGACCTCAGCGATTTGAGCAATCGAGTAGGATACATGCAAGAAATGGAACACAATCTCGCTGCCTTTGTGGAAGTACGACTCACGCTGTCTCACAATGTCCAACTTTAAGGACTCCACTCAGATAATCGCCGGGGGCAGGCGGTCCGCAAACTCGCGCTTTTCTGCAGGCGGTCAGCAGAATTTTGGGGCGTGGCTAGACCTTCAGCGGGCGGCACTTCCTTTAGGGTCGCATATTCTGCCAGCGGGCAGCAATACAGCATTTTTTGCAAGCGCTCGGCAAATAATTTCTTTCAGCGAGCGCTGGCCAAACTTTCAGCAAGCGCTCGGACTCTTTTTAGGCATTTTCGGGCGTACGTCGAGCGCAGGTAAGACTGTGTGTGGCAGAAGTGTCACCGTTGGTTTAATTACTCAAGTTTGAGGTACTTTCTCCCAGCGGAAAGTACCTGGGGGTTGCGCGGTCCTCCACAAAGGACCGTGCGGCCCCCGAAATTTCTGCATAATCTCGCGGAAAGTCCGCGAGAATGCGGCCACTGCGCCGCAGCTAATCCATAAAGAAACCGCGATTGTTCTTCAAGCATTCGTCTTTAATTTCGCCAATTTTCTTCCAAATTTCTGCAAGCGGGCGGCAAAAAATCAACGAACTATTTTTCCGGTGCGCGCTTGCTCAAAATTCGCATGGCCGCCTGCCCCCGGCGATTATCTGAGCAGATGTACGTCGAAGTGAAGCAGCTAAGCGAAAAGTGTGCTGGAAGTGTTTCGACCAAAGCCACCGCTCAAGCGAGTGTAAGACATTGGGACCCTGCCCCAAATGCAGCAAGGATCACCATTCTGCACTCTGCATGGCCGATCGCTTTCCAACGAATTCGTCGGCTACACCAACGACACAGCCGCGATTCAATGACATAAAACGACCAGGCAGAACAAAAACCTCACAAAACGCTGAAATTATCTGCCGCCCCGAAATGGAGAAGAAACAATACGTGCTGATGACAGCGACAGCTCTGGCATTCAATTCCAATACAATGGACTACGAGATGGTCACAATATTCTTTGATACAGGAGCACAGAAAAGCTTCATCACAACTGAGAAAAGCGTCGATCTGCAACTCCCCGTAATCGGGACTTCGGACTTCACTGTCAGCGGATTTGGAGGAAAAGCCGAAAGCTCATACGTGTGCAAAGGGGGAACATGGCCTTTCCAGGGTGAAGGGGGTCATAGGGGTCCCGCCTCCCCAGGGTGAAGGGGGTATGAGGGCCGCTGGGGGGGGGGGGGGGAGGGGGGGGGGGGGGAGCGGCCGCGGCCGTGGAGATGCGTCGACCGGGGAGGGGGGGGCAATGTTCGTCATCATTGCTTCTCATGTTCTTTTCATTCACATGCATCAAGTGAAATTGTAGCCAAACCGGGTTAAAGTCGATTATTGGGTTTTATCCGCTGAAATTCGAAGAAGAAAAACTGGAAGAAGTGAGACTAAGAAATCAACATTTTAAGCAAAATTATAAAACTATCGGCATCATTAAAATCAAATTTAGTGACATGTTGATTCTGAATATTATTATTATGATTGTCAAAACTTACTTGCAGGCTCACTGAGAAGTACATCGGAAATTTGCCGCCTATTGTCCACTTCTAGAGAACGATGAAAAAGCCTGGAGAAAAATTTACGTGTGAAGCCTTTGTGTATATACGCCAATGAAGTTATTACTCACGTATTTGCTGAAATAATAAGTGAAATAATAAATGAACTTTGATGATCGGTGCGCAGTTAAATTGCATTTTTTTAAGAGGTATAAATTTTCTAAGCAGATGGCGGAATCCGTGTAAAGTCATTGAATGATTCCTTAAAGAGTCATTGTTCCAACTTTTAATATTATTTTTAAACTCCGAAAGAGATCGTAACATTTTCTAGAGAAGCAGGTGCAACAGAGGCACCTATTACATCGAAGAGTTGGTGTAATCAGGGTTAGACTTACTGTCAAAATGTTATAGCTACGAGGATCGTGGAGTTCTACAATCCGCCTACTTGGACGATGATAGGGATGAAGCAGCCAGAGATGCATTCACCTTGGAGCACTATGCAAGAGGAGAAG